CACATGTTGTGCCATTGTATATGCACATGTTGTGACATTGTATATGCATGTGTTGTGACATTGTATATGCATGTGTTATGACATTGTATATGCATGTGTTGTGACATTGTATATGCACATGTTGTGACGTGGTATATGCACATGCTGTGACATTGTATATGCATGTGTTGTGACATTGTATATGCATGTGTTGTGAAATAGTATATGCATGTGTTGTGACATTGGATATGCATGTGTTGTGACATTGTATATGCATGTGTTGTGAGATTGTATATGCATGTGTTCTGACATTGTATATGCATGTGTTGTGACAATTTTTATGCAAGTGTTGTGACATTGTATATGCATGTGTTGTGACATTGTATATGCATGTGTTATGACATTGTATATGCATGTGTTGTGAGATTGTATATGCATGTGTTCTGACATTGTATATTAGTGTGTTATGACATTGTATATGCATGCGTTATCACATTGTATATGCATGTGTTGTGACCTGTATTTGCACATGTTGTGACATTGTATATGCACATGTTGTGACATTGTATATGCACATGTTGTGACATTGTATATGCATGCGTCGTGACATTGTATATGCATGTGTGCACGGGAATTAGCGGACGGATATTGAAGCCGACGTATATGAGCGCGTGCAACTACTTGTAACTGCACAAATGCAGGTGGTATTACACACACGTCACTCTCATACCCTTTTTTGGGCACATACCTATCTCTCAGATACATACCCAGGTAGCTCACACTCTTCTTACATATACTTTTCAAACGCTATCTAGCATGTTGTTTTCTCAACATATACACACAGTACACCTGGTCTACTATCTCTGCGCGACTGTGAGGCTCTATGCACCTCCTCAATCAAGTTGTGCCTGAACTGTGGCCCTACTATGAGCTGAGTGCAACCACACATCACGTACATACTCACGCATAGTTATACTACATATATTAAACCCTAAGGTTATGCCATAGTTTACTACCCCATCTAATAGACCTCTATTCACTTAGCTACACTATATACACTGATAACATGTCATACTATACTACTCCATCTAACAGACCTCTATTCCTTGTACACATCTCAGCCCACCTGAGCTACTATCTCTGCGCGACTGTGAGGCTCTATGCACCTCCTCAGCCACACTGTGCCTGAACCGGTTTGCTCTGTTATTGGATGAGATATGGCAGGTGGCACTGCAGCAGAACGAGGGAGCCATGTGGACACTCACGTACACACACGCCAGGGGAAGGCTAGTGGCGGAGAAGCATACACTTGCACCAGACACAGACCGCACCATGCTGCCTCGAGAGCTACTGGATAGGATTAACCCAGCGGCGTAGGCGTTTACCATAAGCGTTTACTACTATAATAGAGATGCAAGGCATAAACGTTTACTACTATAAAGGAGATAGCCAGGCATAAGCGTTTACTAGTATAACAGAGATGCCAGGCATAAACGTTTACTACTATAATAGAGATGCCAGGCAAAAGCGCTTACTACTATAATAGAGATATCAGGCATAAGCGTTTACTACTATAATAAAGATGCCAGGCATAAGCG